AAAAATATATATATATATATATATATATATATATATATATATATATATATATGTAAATAAATAAAAACGTTGACTCGAAGTTATTTGAACATAATACTTTTAATAGTAATTCTTTTTATCATTATGTATAAGATTGTTAAATTTATAGACAATGGAAACGTGCTATGGCATTTGATCTCCGTCTTTCGGATTTGTAAATTGTGATCCCTTAAGAACCTTAGATTACAATATTTTTTTTTTACTGCAGACTTTGTATACCTGCACGCGCGCACACACATACGCACTTACATTTATACATATTTACGTATAAAATGAGTTGTTATAAAGTTACACGATTTTTTTTTTTTTTTTTGTATTTTCTCCTATTCGGATTTTTTAAATTTTTCTAACGTCCACGCGTTAATATAGACAAATTAAAAAAAGTCATTTATAATTTATACCACTTGCGAATAATAAAATAAAATAAAGGTTTTCATTTTTAACAAAATTAAATTTTAACTATATTTTGAAGGGGGAAATAAATAAAAAATTCACCTTACAGATACCAAACAAATATAAAATAAAGAATATATATATAATTATGTATATTTTTTATTTGATATTAAAAACGTTAAATTGAATTGCTCATAATATTACTGAAAATTGAAAATATATCGATATATAAATGTTTATAAATAATAGGACTCTGAATTCAAAATAGTATTTATGGATAATAAATTTAAACATATATAATAAAAAAAGAAAAATATATAATAATTATTTTAATGAGGCCGCTGAATAAAAGTATTAATATTAATGCAAAGATAGCGAGCGAGTGAGTTAGGGAATGAGTGAGTGAGCAAGAGAGCGAGTGACGAGTGAGCGAGTAAGCTAGTGAGCTTGTGAATGAGCGGGAATGAGTGAGCGTGAGTGAGTAAACGAGCGCGCGCGCGCGCGTGTGGAAATTCAATCTTATCGAATATGAAATGAAATGCATTTAAGTCAATACATTAACGCCCATTTAATACGATGAATAATTAAATGAGTAATAAATAATTCAGTATTGATGCAATATTTTATATCATGATTTACTTGTTAAAATTTTGCCGTATATAAAATAAAATAATAACAAAATTATAGTAACGTAATCTGAAAAATTCATAAAATCTGCTTCTTACACATAAATAAAAAATAAAAAATCAATTGCCAACTATTATGTCGAGATAAGAAAATTAAAATTAAAGGTAAAACCATAATACAAGTTAAAACAACTCGTCTTACGAACTTATTTGGACTTTAATAAGCGATATTGAGAACAAATTGTTGAATAGAGTCTTTTGTTTGTTTGTTTGTTTTGTTTTGTTTTTTTTTTGTTTTTGTTTTGTTTATGTTGGAACTTTTCATTTCGTTATGTATTTCAGCACCAAGCTATATTACGAAATTTTTGGCGCTTATTTTTTGCTTAAATTTAAGGACGTCGATCAAGATTTCATGCACGTCGTCAATTGTCACTGTGGCAAAAAGTAAATACATCTAATACGTGATTTTAAGTCCATCACGCTTTATATCTCTCTAGCGCACTTCATTACGAATGCGCATCGCATACATAATTATTATGTGTCAACTGCGTGACGCTTCTACAATGCGAACAACAAGTTGATTAATCGAAATGACGCTAATTCGTGGATTATACAAATTCACCCTGTAATCGATACGACGAACGTTCGTTCATATATAATGGCTTCGCATAGGTAAAATAAAATTTTTAAAAGAAAAACAGGATAATAGAAGGAGTGAAAAAAAGAAAATGATAAAATAAGAAGAAATAAAGGAAGGAAAGAAAATCACGAACTGCCGTATCGGATTATTCCGCTTAACATCCATACCTATTCACTCATTCTATTTATTTTGCTTTTTTTCATTATTAAAATATCGTTTTATAAATTAAATACGCTTTTTATATTTTTTATCGTTTTTATAACAGCGCAATACATAGGTTATTCAGATTTCTCTCGCATTACACCTTCCAGTTCATATATATATATATATATATATATATATATATATATATATATATATATATAAATGCATATACATATATATGAGCATTATATCGCTATTATACATTTATATGGTCGTTTTATAACTGCCACACTTTACATGCGACTTAAGAGATACTTGTGTATAAAAATTAATCTACGAAAGTTCCCAACTTGTCTTGTGATTGTCGAGCTGGAAAAGAGCTTGCGATTAAACATATGCTTGACATATCCATATTTTCCCTCAATCAACATCCGACACACGCGAGTTAAGATTTACTTACCTCAACAATTAATTTACGCCTTATTTATTTTTCTATAAAATGCTGTTGCTTATGCTGCTACGTACAAGTTTTATGAAAAGTATGATAATTTTTGAAAATGTTACAGATTAATAGCGAGCATTCAACGCTTGAGTCGTAAAAATTCTTTTGCCCCCAAAAAATGTACAATCAGCCTGACATAATTTGGCTGCTATCATCTGGTATGCAATTGTCATCTTAGCAATGGATAAGGAAACCTATTAAGCAATGGAAATTATCAACAATTCGGCCTATCCGAGCGCCCGGATTTCCATGCCGATCTTTATTACGTTATATTAAAAAATTTATAGTCGATATAATATGTACTTGTTTGCTTGCCCGAACTAATTCCACCTACTAAAGACACTTGTGCAGATCCCTCTCTCTCTCTCTCTCTCTCTCTCTCTCACGCACACGCACACGCACACGCACACGCACACGCACACGCACACGCACACGCACACGCACACGCACACGCACACACACTATACATCATCCGAGGCATTTAGCGCGCAAAGCTTTTTCGCGCAAAGCTCTCCGCGCTTCTCCACCTCCATCGTGTTTGCATCGATCCTCTTCGGTAGCCTTAGTCTTCAACTGAATAAACAATATTAATATCGACAGTCCCTCGTTAAATTGTCTCTTAATCGCGCGGGAGAGAGAGCCAAAATAATATCCCACGCTACGGTGCCTCGATTGAAAATCGCTTCGCCGCCTCATCGCTACATCATCTCTTTGGCGTTTTTCCGCACGCGCGCGCGCACACACATATCCCCTTCTGTCCTCGATTCTTCCTTTAATTCTTAAGTACGTTGTCGTTTAGTAGCCGTAGCAGTAGCAGTAGTAGTAACAGTAGCAGTAAACAGTAGCAATAGTAGTAACAGTAGCAGTAAAGAGTAGCAATAGCGGTACTAGTCGCAGTCGTCGTCGTTCTCACCTAAACGCTCCAAACTCTCCCCCGACCGCTAAATAATAATAGTTACGCCTGTACATAAACAGTCTTGATGAAACGTCGCGCGTTACCGACGAGACGGGAAACGCGATCGTTGAGACACGCTTCCGTTACAGCCGTCCAAGAAGAGAGAAGAAAATAGTTTCGATCCTCGTTCGATACACGTATCTCTCCTCCCCTTATAATCTTCAACACCAGCTTTCGCTCTCGCGATCCCCGACGCCTTCGCTCTCCTCGTCGCTCGGCTCCTCGCCGTACATGTCGGCAAGTTTGCGGAACCTCGGCCCAAAGTTCGACAGATAGTTGAACTTGAGATCGCCGTCGTCCGTGCAAGAGGCCAACGAGGATAACGAGCCGTTCGAGTTGCCCTCGCCCTCGTACGCGTAGTGGCGTACGTCGTCGAAGGGATTGGTGTCGGGGTCCTTGTCGCAGCACTCTTTTCTGCCGTCGAGGAAGCCGCAGATGTCGGGTACCTCTTCAGTTTCTGCAAACAAAAACAAATTTATGATTTTTTTTTTTTTTTTTTTTTTTTTTTTTTATCTTTTGTTTTTTCTTTAATATATCATTTCGGATTTAATGTTTCGCGATGACGCGAGCCAATGTTACGAAAATTCATTTGAATAATAAATAAATTTGAATAAACTTTTGCACGGCGCCACTCGCTACCTTGGCTCTTCCGCCTATATTCGCAACTTTAAAGGGGATGCAAATTTTTCAATTTAATTCACTCGAAGTGAAAATATTAATGGAAACATAATGCGTTCGCAGGAGGAAAAGCTAATAATTTCTTGATTTGACGTCTGCCGGCTGGTGCGAGTGCAGCTGTTATCGCGAGTGTAAGTGTGAGCGAAAAATCACAATGTACGCGTTAACAACGTGCGCGGATGATTATGCTCATTCGGCAAACGGAGCTCGAACGTTTATTCGAAAAGTGGACGGTTAATGTGTGATAGCTAGGCGCAGTAATAGGAATGGAGAATAAGACTTGGCTGTCGCGACTGTACGAGCAACAGAGTTAGAAGTTTACTCGAAACGTTAGTGTGGCCTTACTTGCTTCGAAGTACAGATTGGAGCGATTGTATCAAGAGTACGTGTAAGGGAAATGTGGAAAAGTATGAGAAAGCATGGGAGATATCGAGGAATGAAAGATATGCAGTATTTAAGGAATTAAAATCATATCGAGTTTATTCGAAATTTATTTAAACGAATGAGCGTCGTTCGTCGAAAGGCCTTAGTTACGATATATTATTAATGGTGCGGGGCAAGTGAATAAGGTACGTCGTCAAAAATACTCGTCGATACTGTTATTTCGATTATGGCGTTCGTATCTATTCGACAAAGCTCGCATATACCCCCCCCCCCCACCCCCCCACCCCCCACCCACCCATTAAATACATTGAGGTATTTTCCTCGGTATTAGCCGAAATGCGTTTCATAAAATAAAAATGAAATTACCTCTTCCTTGGAGACTGGCTGCGTTAATCTTCATATCGTTCGGTGGATCGTACATGGCCCTAAGAACATTGAGGTCGTAGCCCGTATCGACTTCACCACCTCCCTCATCCTCATAATTTATGATATTCTCCCTAATGTCATCCATATCTTTGTAGAGATCGTCGGTTTTACGTCTGTGTACGACAACGGCCAGGAGAAGAATGAGTAGAATTGTAATACAAACGAGGATGGCAACGAGGAAATTCGTATCAATGCCGAAGGACACGGCCTTTGCCATGCCATGACTACAGCCTGGATCCGCGTTCATCGACAATGATGGCATTCCCAAATTATACGTCTAAATAAATAAATGAATAGGTAAGTAATGGGTACGAGCAATCTCGCTTATGTGTTATGCATTGGAATTATCGTTTTATTCGGCAAACGCTATTAAGGAAAATAAGAAGCGATTAATCATGATGAGCGGCAAAATTTGTTTGTCGCTTAACGAAATGCCAATTATAATTAATTATATAAAGTAAGGGGAATTACCATGGATGATTTGCTTATTCGATTAAAAAGGGTAGGAAAATTATTCCCAATAACGCGTACGTGAAATTTTACTTATAATAGATTAAACATAAAATGTACATACATTTCCGTTGATGGTCATGTTTCGAATGCAACCAACAAATCGTGTTTCGGTTGGAACGTGCTGCCAATTAAATTTCTCTCCCAATTTGGCCAAATTGCTTATTGAACCTCCTATTTGCAGCGGACTATTCACATTAAGGAATTCGCTAGTGCCAATAGGTGCTTTCAATCTCATGCAACTTGATAATCCGCAATTATCAACTTTCATCTCTATGGACTGGAAGAAAGGAAAAAAAAAAAAAAAAAAGAAAAGAAAATGGCGACATTCATTATTAGCGGTGCGATGCTGATTTTACAGGATAATAATCCTTATTAAAATCAGTTGAATCTATCATTTTGAATATTGTTTTTAATTTGCCCGATACCCCTAATTCGCTAGTATTGCCATTTTATTTGTAATTTATACTAAATTCTGCAGGCATTGTTAAATATTGTAAAAATCTTGATTATGATGTGCGCGTGGGTGTGTTACGTATACTCACAGTTTTCGTCCAATAAACGTCTATTCGATGAGGCTTTCCATCAGCAAGGAACAACTTCTTTTCCTCCACTTCGTTATCTTTGCTTGATTCCGATCTATCTAGCATTATGGTTCCTTGACCGTAATCAACGTACAAAACGGGATTACCATTTTGTAACTCAAGGGACATAAAATCTTGAATCCCTAATTTGGGAAAGTAGCTCATTGGGCCAAAGTAAAATACTAATCCGTCTTTAGCGTGAGGTGTTATTTCCAATCCTGGATGAAAAATTTTGCATTTAAATTATCTATTGAAATATATGACTTTTAGGGTGGGGGTGGGGGTTGGGGCGGAGGGGGGGGGGGAATATTTTAAGGGCGCGCGAAGAAAAATGTCAATTACGTTAAAGCTGGAACGAAGAAAATATTGTGAATCAATTGATTAAACAACGAAAATCAATTACAAGTCTATTCGCAAACTTTAAACAATTTTACATATCAAATAAATCTCATTGAAAATTATTATTTTGTTTTCATGATAAATTTTCAGCAATAAAAAAGCCACGTGTTCGTATCTTATATGCCGTAATATTCATTTTAAACAAAATTTAAATAATATCTGATTATAAATAAATAACAATATTTATTACTAAATAGATATTACGCATGTATTTCAGTTTAATAATAATATTTAAGTATTTCCTAAAGCAGAGGTTCAATTACGAAATGTAGTTTAAAAATTTATAATTCATTGTAAAAAAATAAGGCAATCGATAATATTATGTGTTGGTTAGTTGGTTCGGGTGTGTGTGTGTGCGCGCGCGCGCGCGCTTACAAACGCGAAATTTTGATAAAAGATCAGTAACAAAAAACGAGAGTATAAAATACAAAAAGTAAAAATTGATTCTAAAACATGAAACTATTTAATATCGAATCAATTTTTTTTAATATTTTTTTCATTTTATCAGTACACTAGAAAGATATATTTTAAATATGATTTTATGAAACAACAAACTACAAACACATTTTTATTTCATTTTTTATTTATTTATTTATTTATATTTTTTTTTTTTTTTTTTTTTTGCAATAAGCCATTTACATTCAAATTACCTTAATTATAAAAGATTTAATTTTTAAGTGTTCTATATATATTTGATCATTCACTGTGCATATTTAGTATTCTGCAAATAAATTAGTTTTTGATGCATTAAGTTTTGCTCTCGATTTAAATTATATCCAAAGACTAAATGTTATTTTAAATGGCCATAAATAATATTTCAGGAAAATTAAGAATATTTATAACAATTAAATAACATGAATGGTATTGGGCTTCATATAGTAATTGCAATAGTTATACAAATGCACCAATTAAATGGCATAAATAAATAAATCTACATTATCGCACCTATGGACTCGTTAGAATTTATTTTATTTGAGAAATATCGACTCAAATGTTCATATGATATATGTTGAAGTATTTTTAGTTTCTCGCGTTTAACTGCATTCAATCAATAAAAGGAAAATGCATATTTTAAAACGAACATGATTTTTTTTTTTTTTTTTTTTTTTTTTTTTTTTTTTTATAATACCCTCTAATTTATCTAATAAATAAATCTAATAAATTAATAAAAAAAATTCCTCTTTCAACTATTAAAAATTTCAATGAAAAAAGAATCTTTGTATTTATTAGAAATATTATAGAATATAATAGAATAGAATAATTAGAATTAAGGGGTCGATTAAGTTTATCGAATGTGTATGACAAATACACCATTGACGTATTTTTTTAATGATTTTACAAGAGCGTCAAATGTTGTCAGAGACGATAAAAGCAATAATTACGGTTGCACAATAATACGTTAAATTGTCAAAATAACATTTGTAATTACACGTAATTAAATTGAATTAAAATTATTTTAACGCCACTTAAATATTAAAATAATCTAACTTTATTAATTATAAGCTACAAGCTAGATTATAGAAAAGCGTTATAATTTGTTTACTTTAATAGTACATTGGTAAAATACCATTGCTTTACGAGAGAGTAATTATACAACAGCAATGAATAATAAATCCATTCATTTTAAATAATAATAATGATGAAAATTGAACTTTAGATGGTGGGTAAAAATTTTAACGTAAAATATGAGATTTAAGCGCAATTTTTCGCACAAAATGCGCATGGATTCGGGCGAGCAACGTCGTATCCTGTATTCCCATTAAAAAAAAAAAAAAAAAAAGCCACACATAAAATAAATTCATAACGGTAAATAATAAGGATATTAATTAAAATTAGATTAAAGGTAGATTAGGGCGAAAGCGGCCGACTTGAAACGCACCGATTAAAAAGTATTCCTTTACATGTAAAAGTTTCGCGTATGTCGATTATTAGTCGTAAACGATTCTCAAATACATCAAATCAATAAATCCTTCGTCACTTCGAAATGCATTTTTCTCAAATACCATTGTCCGTCGCTTCACATAAGCTTTACAGTTCTTTAGTTGGCCAGACGTTATCGGTTCGGACACCACACCACGACACACACACACACACACACACACACACACGCGCGCGCGTATAAGGTCGCAGTAACAACGCGTTACAAATATCAACAACAGACATTCGTTAATCGCGTCACCATCACGAATAAAGAAACGAACCTCGTGTGAAAATACCCAGGGGCTTTTTCTTTTTCATTAATACGTCCATTATATGGGCAGTGGCGCTCAAAGTCGATGGGTTGCTTGATTAAGGAAATAAAAAAATCCAATGTTTCTCTACTACTCACCCAAATGAGAGTCATCGCAGGCTTGACCCGGTGGGGGCATAATGGCGTATCCGTCCCCGTGGAAGCCAATGGCCAGGACCTCGCACCGTGGACCCTCGAGGCCCGGAGGACACTCGCACCTCGCGCCCAAGGGCGTGCCACCATTCAGGCACTCGATAGGCTCGGCTACGTGGCAGATGCACTGTGGATCCACTACCGCCCTTACGCCAACGAAGGAGCTCGTGTTCGTATAGACGACGTAGGGCATCGAGCTGATGTTGAGGAAGCTCCTGCATGAATTGTTGCAGTGGACCTGTGGATAATTCATAGTAGCGTGTTTGTCTAATCTTGTGTTTGTGGGTTTATGTGTGTGACAGACAGAGGGGGAGGAGGGGGGGGAGAGGATAAAAGTTGTTAAGGGTAAGGGGATCGTACGCTGCACTGTTTAGTTTTGGGAAATTTAATTATCCTGTGGTGAGGCTGGAGGGTGAATGTGGGCGAAGAATTTGGAATACTTTTTTCAGGAATTTTAAGAATCCTCGCAATAAAATCAGCACCACTACAATGTAGTGATGTGCAATTCCAAGAGTTAATTAACAAGAGGATGGCCGCTAAGCTGCATACATTTAAAATGTCCATAATTTATTAAAAGCAAGATAATGTAAATTGTTTGTCTCTCTCTCTCTCTCTCTCTCTCTCTCTCTCTCGATCTCGCTCTCTCGATCTCGCTCTCTCCCCTCGCCCTAAATCCTCGTGAAAATAGAAATATGTCACTCTTGTTAGGGCTCGTTTGCATATCTCTGTACGTATCAGTTAATTACGCACTAACATTGTTGGAGAAATAGTTTTTTTTTACCAACAATCCAAACACTGCATTGAAAATATTCATTTACCCACTTTTCGTTTAAACGCGAAGAGAACGGACGATTTAAGCAATAATATCTAGAGAAGAACATTGGTAAAGCCGTTTTCAAGAACATTTAACTTTTAACTTTTCAATTATTTTTATTGGCAAGCAAACCGCGATTTAATGGCCGAATAAGTATAAAAATATTCTCCTCTCCCTCTCTCGAAATGTATCGCAATGATACTGGATATCAAATTTTATGAAAATCGGTCTACTGCTAGAAGCGTTACGTTGAGGGACATCGAGTACACGTCTGCACATATTTTTACGCATTTTCGCATTTTTATGGGACATCTTAATATTTATGGAATATGGAATATGAGAAGTATTATTAGTATCGTACATTGTAGCCATTTTTAATATCAAACTTCAATAATCCACATAAATTGATTTTAACTTATATTTAATATTTAGAGATACAATATGAAATATATGTGTTGATAAACAAAAAGCTCAAGTGCTTAAATACTCGAATGGTGCTTGCATGATTGCATAATTGCATAATTGGAGAAATAAGAGGAATCGAACTGGAGAACTTTGAATTACTAAAACATCGTTCGTACTAAGCCAGCATTTTGCTCACAGGATTATTATCAACGAGGATTTGAATGTTATATTTGCGGATAAATACAGTGCATTCTCATGTGAAAAGTTAGCATGTTACTAGCAAAATTGTACTTATATTCGTTCAATGTATTTAAGCTCTCGAATGTGCTATTATAAAATTTGAAGGGTAATTACAGGAGAGGAAAATGAAAATCGTTTATCCCCAAGATGCTATTGTTATTGAAAAGATAATTCGTAGTGAGATTCATAGAAAGTCGAGAAAAATGTAAGACAAAGGCCATTCGTGCGATTGATTGGTGTCGTCAGTACTTGATATTAAACTCGAATTCTCAATTGAATAACCGAGCGTAGCATCCCCCCCCCCGCCCCGAATAATCGACACGAATGGATCTCGACCATAAATCAACAAATATTCAAGCTCGATATATTTTTGCACGACACACACTGATAGCAAATCAACATATCCGAATAATAATAGATTGCGAAAGCCGATATAGCATCGCATGAAAACACTAAGCTTTATTATCATCTCGAGAGATATGCATTTCAAATTCTAAACTCCATAAGATGGCAGTGTGGATACGATAGGAAATTATAGATAGGTTGAATCAACAGGTAGATGAAGGAGAGGAGGAGAGAGAATGAGGTTAGTCCGCGCGACAACAACAGCTGAAACGAGAATTTCATCTCTCTCTCTCTCTCTCCGTCTCTCTCTCTCTCTCTCTCTCCGTCTCTCTCTCTCTCTCTCTCCGTCTCTCTCCGTCTCTCTCTCTCTCTCTCCCTCTCTCCGTCTCTCTCTCTCTCTCTCTCTGTCTCTCTCTCCTTCTACCGTGCGCACCTTAACATCTATTTACAAACCTTTTCAAACAGGCACTCGTCGATATTTACGAGGAGCACATCCGCACCCATTTCACGCTCGATCATCTCCGATTGCCCGACGACGATCGTATTGAGCTTCTCCGGGGCGTAGTAAGGACTCCCGTGGGCGGAAAAACGCACATCCAGGAGTGATTTATTGTGATGCGGCGAGTGAAGAACTGTGAATACGTCGACGTTCTCGACGGATACGTTGAACATTGAGGAGAGACGCTCCTGCAGAATGTCCTTTTTACTTATGCCGAGCTCGTCCGGAGCGACGAGCTCCTCGGCGTTAATGCCAAGAAAGCGAATCGAGCCGGACTTCACCACCGCCTCCTTCGGTATCTCCTTCACCGTCACGTTAACCGTCGCCTGGGCAAAGTGTTTCGGTATTTCGGCACCTGTTCAACAATAATGATGTTGAGTTAATGATGTTGAGTGATGAAGAGTCATGAAGAGTCGTGAGAGCCCAAGGGCCCGCGCACCCTCGGACCTTCGTCGCGTACAAATGTCACTAGCCAAGCTCAATAGTCTCAATAGTCCAAAGGCAAAAGTTATTTATTTATTTATTTATTTTTTTTTTTTAAACAAAAAAGGTATTCACCGATCACTAATCATAATCGTCCACTTTATCCGCCGATTCACTTACCTTCCTCCGTAACTGTGAACTTGAGCAGGAACGTCCCATTCCTCGTTCCCGACAATAGAGTTATCATCCCGGTGCTCGCGTTAAGTAGAAAGCCATCCTCCGGATTATTCTGATACCATGTGAAGGTTTTGTCGTTGAGATCCCAATCGTCCGGGTCGTCGACGTAAACGCGGCCAATGTCGACGTCGGGCGAGTCGCCGTTGTAATTGTACACGAATATCGCGCTCGAGCCGTCCCTCATCTCGTTATCATTCTTATCGCCGATGATGACGGTGAGCTTGGAGATGCCGGTGAGGGGCAGCTCGCCATGATCGGTAATAGCCACGGGGATGTCATAGCTCTTGCGCTCCTCTCGATCGAAGCGCACCTTTGCGTAGAGCTCGTTGCCCCGTATCTCGAATTTCGTGAGGATGGTCGTGTCGGCCGATACGTCGATACGATAAGTAAACGGCGGCCCGTTGTCCTCGGAATCGTAGTCGCGAGCTTTGAGCTCCGTTATGTTACCCGGCTCTTGGTTCTCGTCCCAAATCACGGGATAGGGCATGTCGAGGAACGGCGCGTTGTCGTTAATGTCCGTAAGCGTAATGTTCACCGACTCGGCGTTTCTCAGGGAGTTCTGGATACCGTCTTCATCTTGGGCAATTACGATTATCTGCGAAAGGACGAGAGTGTTGGAACGATCAATCGATGATGAATATGGCAATTGCAAGATATTGCGAATGATGTCTTATATTAATATATAGTAGGATATTATCTATAACGTAGATTGTTATTAATGTGAGATTAATGTATGTCTTGGACGCTTAAAGTTTATCCGACGAAATTAATTAATGGAAGTAGCGAGGAGGATGATAGCGATTTATAATTTTAGCCGTGGGTTGTTATGCTTTCCACCACTTTCTTTATTTATACACATAAATATCATCGGTTTATATAAAATCTTTGTTTGTTTGTTTGTTTGTTAGGTTTGTGCGTGCGTGCGTGTGTTAAAGGTGTGAATGAAATGAAAACGTATGAAAAAAAAAAAAAAAAAAAAAAAAAAAAAAACAACAACAAATGAAAATCTTTTTTTTTCATTGTCAACGAATGGTAAATTGACACGATTGAATTAATCGAAAGAAATACATTTTTAATCGCTACTGCGCTATCACGATATTTTTACGATAGATTTTTAAGGTTTCGTTTTGCTTACCGTCCATACTGGATAGCCATGTGGAGGATCTCGATCGAGGGGCTTCTTCAGCACCATACAGCCGTCTTTGTTGATTCCAATTAATGGCTGATGCTCGGGTCTCAAAATTGAATAGACTATGTGCTGGTCCACACTCTTGTTCTTAATATCTGGATCGTAAGCAACCACGGTTGTGATGCAACCTAAAACAGTGGTTAATTGAGAAAATTTGCTCATTGGCCGGGGCGACAAAGGACTCAATTCCAGACCCATACAGACCATTATACAATTTCTCCTCTTCGATAACCGGATTCTTATTAAAAGCTTCGAATACCGGCTGATTGTCGTTGACGTTCTCAATGTAGATCATGACCGTGGCGGTGTCATCGTAGATACCATCGAACGCCCTCACCGTCAAATTGTACTGCGTTATCATCTCGTAATCCAAGGGGTGATTGACTCGAATCTTGCCGGTTGTGTTCTCAATGTAAAAGCTGTCGTTATAGTTTCCCGATAGGATGCTATAAGTCACAGGACTTTCCGAGTCCGCGTCGTACGCCTTGACTTCGGTGACGAGGGCGTTAATGTTTGCGTCCTCCGCTATGGAGTTGGCCTGATACACGCGCTGATTGAAGTGCGGAGGATTGTCGTTCTTGTCGGCGATTTCGATGCGAAAATTCTGCTCGCCCTTATTGTGCTCGCCGGTTTTGAATAAAGCACTTGGAGAGTTGTCCGTGGCGATAACTTTCACGGTGTAGGTATTGTCGTCTTCGCGGTCGAAGGTCGTCAGTGTCGTTATGTTGCCCGTGTAGCGATCAATTGTGAAGCGATCCTCGTAATTGCCCAAGGCATACGTGACCTAAGAACAATATTATTCAGGAAACGACCGCTCCGAGAAATCTAAAGTTTAACTTTATATCCTCTATGACTCTTTTATAAAAACTTTCACATCTCATAAAATAGCCCAATTAATTATTTCATCTGCGTTAAGTACAATGTTCTAATTATGAAGTTTGTCGATCGGATCGTTCATCGAGCATTGAATAAACTCTCGGTCTCGCTACTAAAAATTACGTCCTACTTCTCTCGACGTTAAAATTTTTATTCCAACTTTGTTGACGTAGCATTTATTCCTGCACAATGCACTGGCAAGTAAATGACATTTTTGGCACTGTCGTGACAATGTTAATGTTAATAGAGCGAATGATCGGTGTATTGGTCGTAATTTTCAAGAACCTTTTATTCCAACTCGCGTCGAATTATGTCGAACGAGAAGATGAAAAATCAAAGACATTTTACGTAAGTCGAATAATAAAAAGACATAATATGATATGCTATTGTTTTGAGATATATTAATGGGACGTGGATTTGTGTGCGAGTAATTTTGTTGTTCGACTTGGACATTAAAAATTACACTCTTCAACGATTCGTCTTATAGTATCGAGTAATTAGCCAGAAGTTAAACTTCAATGACAAATATTAATCGATTCTTGTAACTGAACGAAAGAATCTCCCTTAATCACGAACAATTGAAAATTATTACATCAATTTTCTTAACTTTATTATTTGACGTAAAAATTTGTAAGTTAATTCATTTAAATATGATAAATCTAATTATGCGTAATGTATATATATACACGCAAATATCGTTAAATTAACCATGACACGGCCTAGTATACGAAAATAATGATCATTCAGTCGGCTAAATTATCGTGAAGAAAAATATTATCCTCGAGTAACTCGGTGGGCGGTGGGTGGAGGGGCGTGAGGGTTGGAGGGGTGTAATGGCACGAACCACCAGCATATCTTATAAATATTTTGTTTAATGCGTCGTGAGAGGCTCGTATTGATTGGAAATCGATTGCCATAAGAACAAATAATAGCCCTCTTGGGTACCTGATTGTGCGCCGACGTGCCGTCCGCGTCGATCGCGCGAACTTGCATAACCGGCGTACCACGGGGCTCGTTCTCCAAGACACTCCCCTTCTTTATCTCCCGGAACACGGGGATGTTGTCATTCACGTCCAATACCTCGATGTATATCATCGTCTCGGCTGCCAATTGATACTTATTCTGGACACGCACAATTAGCGTATACTCGGTGTTGCTCTCGTAATCTAAAGCCTTCGCCAGCTTAATGTCCGCCACATTTTTATTCGATACCAATCTGCAATTCCAGTTTTGAAATTGTTGAAATATATACAATGTATATTCGCGGCGCGGTGACAGCATTCAAATCGTGAATAGCAGTTGTCACCGATTTATTAATAAAACGAACTAAACAAGTATATGAATAAATAAATGAAAATAATAATAATAATAATAATAATAGAAAGAAAAGTAAATATAAAAGATAAAATAAAATAAAATAAGCGCAGGCGAAGCGAGAGAGAGAGAGAGAGAGAGAGAGAGAGAGAGAAGAGAATAAAAGCGAAATAATGTGCAACGATTCGTATTATCAATGAGAATAAAAAATACGATAATTATTTATCGTGACGTAATTGGAATTTTTATTTACAAAGGAAATAGGAAAAGGGAGGGAAATGTAAGGTTAATACTGCAAAAGTTTTAGTCTCTTGGCAACAATCAAACGAATTTAGTTGGCCGTATATTTTTCCGCTTTATCCTTCACGTATCAGTTGTGACAAGAACATTCCAATATTTCCTTTGTATTTAACGAAAATGAAAAAAAAAAAAAAAAACTTGGCTTATCGTTGAAACGTATGTGCGCTAAAAATTGAAATATAAAATAATGCGTGTGTCGTGAATATTGCGATTTTATTAACAAATCATCTTCAATCGCTCCCTCTGACGTTGCACAACTAAATCGTAAGCCTTTTAACGAGTTACTTTGATTGTGTAGTACGAAGGTCTAAAATTTTAATATTTAAAAACTGCGTGAAGAAATTTTTACACCGTTGAAAATTCATGGAAAAAATGCAAGTGTTGAAAGAGCGATATTTTCTCATCACCGCATTTGTTCGGGAAATTTACAATGCGATACTCGACATTACCGACTCGTCATAACATTTCTTAACTAATTTCTTAATTATCATACATTTAATTAGACGAAGCGACGAATGTCAAATAAAAAAAAAAAATAATCTAAAGACAAACTTTCATTAAATATCTACGCTTCATTATTAATTTAGGTGCATTAATTTTAATAACTTACGGCATAACTGAAAAATACTTTCCTCCCTCGAAATTCGACCTCATATTGATGGACTTTTTAAACTAATAAAAAGTAACCTTTTATTTTAAGTGTAAAATCATGTTAATGTAAAAATATATATTTCTACTAATTATTGAAATTTTTAAAGGAATATACTCGAGATATTACTTGATTTCGTTGAAAAATTACAATTAACATAAAATTTTATTCAAATTCCAATTAATCCATAAGAAATTATGACTACAATTTTAAGAATTAAAAGTTTCCTATACGAATGCGAGATAAGGATTTCCATGTGCAAAATGCATTATAATAATAGTATTTGATAATACAGGATTTAAAATTTTATTAAAATGAATTTACGCGTTAAATAATAAGGATGAATTTTATCCTGGCAATTACATTATATTTAAAACAAAATTATATATTATACTGACTTTAAATTTAGTATATAAAGCTCCGCCCAATGTGTAATAACAAATGTAGTTTGATTAATAAAATGAACATGGATTTTAATATTACTCAACTATAAAAAGAATTAAATTAAACAATTTATTGTTGGGACGGTAAGGCAAACGATGAAAATAAACGTAAGCAATTTAAAGATTTTTATTTCACTCAATTTTTTTTTTTTTTTTTTTTTTTTTCGCGATTTTTTCATTTTTTTTCGACGTCAGCCGTCGACAAAACTTTTTTTTTTTTTTTTTTTTTTTTTTTTTTTTGTATTAAAAGTATACCTAAATTTCGAATAATTAAAGATGTTCGTTTAAATCAATTTACGTAATTAGCAAACGGTCGATAAAATTTTTTGAAAAAAAAAAAATAAAATAAATAAAATAAATAATACCATTAATATATTAATGCATTATGTTAATATGCAGATAATAACGGTATTTATTTATTTATCTAATTAAATCTTAACAGAGTCATAATGGCATTCGAATGTTACATTAATTACTTTTTAAACAAAGTCAAAATTATTATCTAAATTTTATATATTGTACGTGGTGAGTAGCCGTTCGTAATTTCATTGAACATGCACTAACGAATATCTTATAAACGAATTAGCTTGATGATAAAAATACTTGAAAATATTGATGTAACAATGGTATTTCATGATATTTAGCATTGTTTAGTTGTTGCGAATATGAAAATTTCATCCCAAATAATGTCATAAAAACATAAAAGAGACTCATAAATTTATTGCTTAAAACTTATCCGTTATAATAATGATAAGAATTTCACTTGAATTTCAATCAATGTGATTCCGTTAAAAATACAAAAGTCCAAAATATTCAATTATTAAATGTCAGTGCAGTAATTTTCCTTACAAATTATTTACAGTGTGCTATTCTCAATTTATTGCTAATTTTGTTATATGGCTTGAAATAATTCTGCATATTGATTTTAAAACTACGATGTCAAGCAAAAAGCTATTGCAACAAACCAAATAAGCAAACAATCTCCGCCATCTTGTCATTAGTTGAACACGTACACGTAAAAGATAGGGAATGGGTGAGTAATTAATACTGTCCTGTCTGTTAAGTAGTTGCGTTAAAGTTATTTTCAATATTTTCCGACAACATAATGTAATAACAGTTAAGTAAAAGAAATTATAAATATGTTAAAGAAGATTCGTGAGAAGGAAATAACGGGGAACGGATTTGATTAATAAAATTAAACTTATCGAGGAAGGAGTTTCGGAGAAAGACTTTTACTAAATATAGTAATTCGCACTTTTCTTCTTTTTTTTTTTTTTATGAAAAATCGATGTCAGCGAGTAAATTTTTCTTTTCATAAATTTTATTCGAGCTTAACGTTACGCTTGATTTTGAGATCAAATTTCTCATCATGAAAAATCTTTGTTACTTTCATTGTCATCTGATAATTCAATCATCAAGACGATCATTCCACGCGTGAATATCGATATATCGACGCTTAACGTAATCTAATACAACGACTATACTCTCTCGCTCTAAAAGTTAATCTTTAACCGTTCTCATAACGTACGTTGCTATTATTACACGAAGTTTGGTCGTACGTCGGTAGGTAAGAAGAGAGATAAGAACGAAGGGGATGGAGCTATTGCCGAAAAGCGGCATCGCTTAAAAGTGAAAGAAAGTGTAATGCAAATAAGAGAATCGTGTCGTCGCGCGTACCTGAAAGTGTTTTCCTTGTTGGTTTGCTCGGTTCTTCCTGTAACGAGCTCGAAAAGAAAATAGTCGGGACTTTCATCGATGTTTGACTGGGCTTCGAGACGGGCGATGCTCGCCTCGTAATCGCTGAAGTTCTCCTTGAGTCTGATTGGCTCCAAAGGGCTGACTGTAAAGGTCGGGGCCTTTTTGTGCGACTCCACGACCCGAATATCGAGGTCGATGGGGTTGTAACGAGGATAGTCACCCTGATCTCTCGCCATTGCCGTCATACTAAACTTGTAGCCAGGACTTTTCTGTAAGATGAGGATGCCCGCGTGTCGGCAAACAATTAGTATGCGAAATTTTTTTGTTTTTTTTTTTTTTTTTCCATCAAGGAACAATTTTTGGGTATATCAAAAAAAGTAGAGTTACCGCCACCACGGCATGATGAATTCTTTGTCAATCTTCATGCCGCGAATCGCTAATAATCATACAAAATTGCATTTCAGCTGAAAATCAAGCATTCCTTGCAGCTTACAAATGCAAGTGTAAACGAAACAAATATGGTGAAATAATAAACTTTCGTGATAAATTGATTTTTCTCTCACATTTATATATTTCGGAGCTATTCGTTATTGTTTTCTTTTTTCTACGTACCAATCACAGACATCATTATTATTCTAAATAAGTTATTTCATAAGACGTGTGCATTCGCGTTCTATGCAACTAAAACATCTATAACGGATGATAGACTTTTTTTTTTTTTTTTTTTTTTTTTTTTTTTTTTAATGACTCAGTTTTGTAAATTTTAAATTAGTAATTATAAAGATTGAGTGATTTAAAGTTCAAAAGTTTGATAAACCGTTGTCATTTCTTTTTTCTTTCTAAATGATTTTATTAAAATTAATTTTTACATTTACTACTTTTTACGATGAAAGAACTAATGCAGTAATATGAAAATTAAATCATTTTATCGTAATTTTGAAAGTTTTTTTTTTTTTTTTTCTCTATTATAACATGAACAAAGTTAAAATTTCTAACTAACTTACTTAAAAATCAATAATTAGCTCGAAGAAATCTGATTTTTTGCATCTTTTCATTTAAATACTTCTGGCGGCTGTCTTATATCTTCTTCATTGTTAAAATGGAACGTATTTGACGGGAAAGAATATCATTTATAACGCGTATGGATTTTCTATACTTTGCTTTAAACCTTCATTGACGTATCGTTTGCATATCAAAAAGGAGCTTCGATTTTAATAAATCTAAAAATGGTTTTTCCAGTAGTCTTCTTCTTAAATTG